TGATCGCTAAAGCGCATGCAGTGGGACACCGCGACGAGTCGGTACATTGAAGCTGCTCAAGCAACGCTACTTCTGGCACGGTATCGCTCGTGATTGCCGACGCTATGTAGATGCCTGTGAACGGTGCCAGTTTGCTCGAGCTGATCGTGTACAACGTCAGTCCATGGGATCTATTCCTTGGCCTGGTGCTATTGGCTGTCTCCGTGTATGTGCTGTTGACATGACCGGTCCCTACCGAGTATGTAGCGGAGCCAGTGGCTCCACATCCGCGAATCCCTCAAGTGAAGACCCCGACGGTCAGAACTACGGGCTGGTTGTGATAGATATGGCTACCAACTACTTACGTGCCACTACATGCAAATCTAAGTTAGCTTCTGAGGTTATCCGGAAGCTTGAGGTCCTGTTCCACAGCTCTGACTGGCCACAAATACTGTTGGTTGCTCAAGATTCCTCACTCGTCGGTTCGGCTTTCAGATACTTTTGCGATCGCCACTCGATCTGCTTAAAAGTGTTGCCAAGAGACTCTCCTGCTTTGGCTGGTGCATCGGAACGTCCACACAAAGATCTACATGCGTACATCAACAAATGTGTCCAGTTCGACGATCCTGATAACGCCGACTTTACTAGTTGGACTATCCCCTTTTACCGGGCGATACGAGCGTGGAATATCACCCCGTTCACGACTGATGACGACTTGTCCCCTCATGCCTTATGTTGGTACACTAACCCGAGGATCCCCGAGTTGGATCCCCGAGAGGACGATCTTCTGGGCGAGAACTACCACGAGAATCTTCCCCCGGAGGCTCCTCTATTCGACGATTCGAATGAGCTCATTAATGAGATGAAGACTAGACAAGTCACCAAGTGGAAGCGTTGGACCTCTATCTGGTGTGATCTACGTGAGAAAGTTCGTATGGCTACATTATCTAGGAGACGATTATTCGATCTTCGTCCGGGTCAGAAGGTCCTACTCTGGACAAGGAAGCCTGGAAAGTTCATTGGTTGGAGCTGGGAGGGTCCCTATCCGGTTGTTGAGACACGCGGAAGTGTCACCACTATTCGTCGCAACGATGTAGATTTCAAGGCTGCAACTACTAACCTGAAGCCCTTCCACGCGTATGATGATGGCGATGATGATGTATGTCCTGACGATGTCGTGGAAGAGCCCCCTCAACCTGATGCGAACGATAGTCCCGGAGCTGACTCTCCACAGACTACTACAAGTCCTGCAAATGCTCCTACTGGTGATATAGAGGAGCATACCTCCCAATTAGATCAACAACCCGACGATGACAGGATCTTTGAGATTGGTTCGATAAGGGTATTTGTGGATCCCGGTCATCGCTACTTCCCCTACACCTCAATTGCAGGTTACATCGTTAACTGCGACGAGAATGCTGTTACTATTATCCCTTTTGTTGACCCTACTAACCGTATGATTGAAGCTGACCGATTAGTTGACGAACCTGCAGTTCTGAGTAGTGAGACGATGGATATTCCAAGAACGACTCTACGCGATATCGTCTGCCTCAAGTATAGAGTACCTCCTACTCGTAATATGCTTCGTCAACTCCGTCTAGCGGCGGCGGCAGTGTAGCGATCGCTTCGCTCCGCTAGGCAGTTTCATGTCGACTTGTTGAAACGGCTGAAACGGCTAGGCGTCGAATTCGT